GGGGTGCAGGGGATGAGCGTGCCATCTCCAGAGCCTTTTCTGGGGCAGGCGCCTCCCCGCTGATTTGGCAGCTCCAGGGCGCATCAGGTCTTCTGGATCCTGATGAGAGGGGGTGCAGCGCTCAGCCTGGACACAGTTGGACAGCCCAGAGACACCCAGAGGACCTGGGGACCAGGCCTCTTCTTCCCACTTGGATCGCTCCATGCATCACCCTGTATTCCCGTCCCCCCTTTTTATTTGAGAGAGGTCTCTCTGTTGGTGGACACGGCACCCAGAGCCACCAGACCACAGCCTCCCGGTTCATTCCTGTGTTCATTTCCGGACTGCAAGGAGCTTTCGTAGAACCATGTGACTCCCCTTCCAGTGTGGGTGTGAAGGCTGGCAGGGTTTGGGTTAAGCGTCCTAGGCCGTGGGCCAGCAGCAGGACAGGGCAGGCATGTCCCCGGTCCCTCAGTGTCCCTGGCTGTGGTCCTCAGGCGGCATCTGCAGCGTCACCACTCCCTGTGGGGGCGCAGACAGCAGCCTCGGCTCTACACGCTGGTCAGCATGTGGGCTGCTCCGAGGGTGACCGGGATGAGCAGCCTGGCAGGACTCAGCCTCCTCTGCCACATCCAGTCACGTGCTTTCTTGGCCATCTCCGGTCGCCAGTGGTCCCCATTCTTGGATGAGTGTCAGACCCTCCAATGGCCACAAAGCCGCAGGGAGCTCTTGTGTCTTCAGCAGCCACAGAAACAAGATGGAAGCAGCTTGGTACAGAAGGAGCAGGAGTTTGGGGCTGGTGGGGTGGGCTTTGAAGCCTCTTTCCAAGCTTCCTAGCCCAGTGACCTTGGGTGAGTCAGTCATCCTGGGGTGATTCTGGGATGGTCCCGCCAGCCCTGTGAGTCTGTTCCAAGGATTAATAATGGTGCGTGTGGACCAGCAACACAGGTGAGGGCTGTAGCAGTGAATTCTAGTGACAAGCCTCAGCTCTTGAATGCCAACCAGGTACTAGGTGCCTCCCAGGTCTCTCCCTCAGAATAATGAGAGTCCCTCCAAGGGCCCAGAACTGCCCACTGTTCACTAGGCAGGCAGCTGTGAGCAGACGTGGCTGCTGCCCAGGCTCCTGTGCTACTGGGTGGCAGGACTCAGAGGGTGTTAAAATAGATGATGTGCATGATACCACACAAGGCAGGGAGGAAAGCGGGGAGGCCTGTGTGGTGGCAGAGCAGCAAGGTGGACAGCACTGGCAGCCCAGATGTCTGGGGGTCCACTCTGAGGGAAAGGGAGCCATTGCAGAGCTTTGAGCAGAGGAGCAAACAGAGCCAGCTTAGTTCCACTGGACAGCTCCAGCTGCTGAGTGGAGGACAGACAGCAGGAGATCCAGTGGGAGTGGGGGTGGACTCATCCTCACCCCAACCCTGAAAGAAGGTATCAATTATTCATGCTTTTGGCAGCAGATAACAGAAAGCCTAAGTGACAGGAGCTTATCTATGAAGGGTGTTTCTGGTTCTCCTCAGAAGGGTAGGGCTAGAGAGGCCCAGGTGTGGCTGGCCAGGTAGGGAGTCCTTCCTTCCTTCCTTTTGTTGCTTCATGGCTGCAAGATCACAGCCACTGTTCCTACCATCACAGCCTCTTATGGCTGTGTCCAAAGCACAGTGATAGAGGACGTTCTCCCTTTCTTTACTTCTCTCTTTTCAGAGTGGAAAATCCTCCTTAGACTTCCCCAGCAGATACCCTCCACATGTCTCTTGGCCCAAACTGGCTCAGAACTACCTGAGGGAAAGGATGGCCCAGACTGGCATCATTTTCTGGGGCTGCTCCTATTACTTCCTACACAGTCAGGGCTCCCTGGCAAGGCAAGTCAGGGAACAGCTGGTGGCCAGGTCACTGGCAGTGCCTGCTCTAGGGAGGTTGCACAATTCTCATTTTATTAATGGGTCTACCGTGGGGTGCCTAGCAGTGAATGGCAAGACGTGACTTTCGAGGTGCTGGTGAAACACGGGCCCCACAGGCAGGCCAGGCTCTGTGCTGTAAATCTCAGGACTATCACTTTACTCCTCAGTGAGGGCTGTGCCTCCGTGTCCTCATCTGGAGATCGGGAGTAGCGGGAGAAGCATAGAGGAGGAATATGAGGGAAATCATGTAAAGTGCTGAGCACAGTGCCCAGGACGTACGAGATAGTTCAGTGACCAATTTAGCATGTTAGTCTTTTTCTGTCCTGTTACCTGTAACAGCAGGGTGGTCTTCACAGCCCCGGGCCGCCTCTCCATTTTGTGTTCTTTCCTTAGATGAATTCTGTCTGTGCAACTGCTGCTTGGGTTTCTGGCAAGTGACTGAGGCAGATTACCCTGTGGCTGATGGGACTGCTGTGACGGTTCTGGGATAAAGACTCCATTTTCTTCTGATGTAAAGGATTTGTGCAGGGCGGCGGGGAGGTGTATGCCATCCTAAGTGCTTATAGGGTGTGGTCTGGTCTTGGCTGCAGGGACATCCCGCGTCCCTCTCAGCTCTGTGCCTGCTGGACTCCGGTGTCCTGGGGGTGGGGGTGTGACTCCAGGCATGGCCCATTCTGCCTGCCACTCAGCCAGGCCTGGCCATTATTCCATGCCCTGGAAGTGCAGCACCAAGCGGTTCTGACCTGCCAGAGCACAGGGCTTAAGGCACACACTGCCTGCTCTGTCCCCAGCCTCGCCACCTCCTGACCCATCTGAAGTCCGCCTCCCACCGCTTCTATCCTACAGCACACACCCTTGGGAGGGCTGCGGAAAGACACCCGCTCCTAGAAGGCCTCCTGAGCCCCCTCTCCCCCGAGCCCAGCTAAGCTTCTTGGCCCCACAGATGGGTCTCACCTGCCGCCCCCCACACCACACTCAGCTGTCAGAGTCTCTGCCCCTGGCTGGACCCTAGCGGGCCGGGCTCCAACCTGCGTCCCTGCTTCAGCATGCTCAGCCCTCCACCCTGGTGGACTCCTCTCCCTGCGTCCTCCCCTGCACCCCCAGGCTCCAGGTCTGGAGTGAAATCTGAGGCCAGAGTTTGCTGGGGCTCAAAGTAACACCCACTCTGGGGATGCCGCCCCCTGCTGGAAACTGTGAGTAGGACCTCACGAGGCCTCGGATGCGCAGCTGAGTTTCAGCTAAACGGGATTCTGAGAAATCAGATTATAGGGTTAGGCCCGTGTCACCACAGTGCCGTCTTGAGAGAAAAGAGGCCAGGTCTCAGGAAAGGAGGTGTGATGCTGGGCTCAGAGAGGGACTAAGCAGGACGCCGGGCTGACAGCTGTGACAAGGGAGAGCGGTGGCCCGGACAAGGTGTGTGGCGTCCCCAGAGGAGCCGCGGACCTGACGACGTGGAGCTAGGCCCTGCTCTGAGCTGCAGGAAGAAGGGGCCCCCTGGCCCACTCCACGCGGCTGACCTCTGGAGCTGTGGGGTACACTCTGTCGTCCAGCCTCTGCTTGGTGGCAGTCTGTCTGACAACCGTGCAGAGTCCTGGGCCTGCGCTGTGAGGGCGGGGAGGATATAGGCCTGCCCGGTGCAGCAATCTCTGTGGCCATCAGGGCAGACGTCTGAAGCTGGGAGAGCCCTGCACAGCCGTCCTTAGCTGACGCAGGAATCACACACGTCTGCTGCCCACTGGTCAACGGATGGGGCTCCTCCGGAGAGCCAGAGACGCTGGGGGGACCCTTGGTCCAGGCTGGTTTCCAGGGAGGAACCGGTGTGAGCAGCTGCAGCCCGCACCCCCTGCCCAGGAGGCCGAGTGCCGTGGTCCTGGGGCCCCAGGGCCCCTTACCGAGCTGTATTCTCAGCCCTACTACTCCCACCTGCACTCCCTGCCCTGGGCCGCATGGGTCCGTCTTCACGAACGTGCACAGCCTGTGAGGGGGCACACAGGTGGGGGCTGGGCCTGCACCAGGAAGACTCCTAGCACCGTCCCACTGGACAGCCTGCTTGGTCTCATAACCTTTGAGAAACCAAGGGTAGCTAATGTTAATTAAGCATTTCCTGTGGGCTGGAGACTAACCCACGTGCTTGTTTGTCTCTTAATTTGATCCTCTTCTCGGTATCTTACAAACCAGGCAGATACCATCCTCACCCTCATGTTTAACTTCCCCGAGGTCACACAGCTGAGCCTTCCACAGGACAGTTTGGGCCGGAATCTCTCCCCTTTACCACCTCTGCCCAGGGAGATGATAAATGTCAATGGCTTCTCCTGGTGGTGGGCACAGAGCTCTCTTAGTTGAATAACCTTTAGAAATAGAAAAATGGATGGGCTTCTCTAATGACTTTGGCCTTCCCAATGCCTGACGGCCCCTCCCTATCCTGGGAGCAGTCATACTTCACACTCTCCTTGGGTGTTAACCTGTTGTGGGATGTTTTGTCCCTTTGGACTGGGTGTGAGCTTTTCTAGCCCCTCCTCTTTTTCCCACAAATCCTTCTTTTATGCCCAAGGCAGGTTCCTCACAGGTAATGAAGGCTTACAGATCCGGCCCCTCCTGGAACCCCCTTCTCTTCCATCCTGAGTGCCCTGTGCCCTCCTGCAAGGTCCTGAATAGGTGGCTTTCCTGCTGGCTGCGTCCCCTGGATGCCCCTCTCCTGTTCTCTCAGCCTGCCTGCCTGACTCGTGTCCCCCATCCAGCCCTCCAGGGCCACCGCCTCCTCCAGGAAGCCCTGCTTCAGGACCATTACCCTTTCTCTGTGTGCCTTTGACCCCGGGCTGGCCCACTGTACTCTGATTCCACCACTCCTGAGGTCTCTCTGCCCCCACAAACTGAGCCTCTCCTGCACAGCAGTGTCTGGGGCCTCTCTGTGTCCCCTGCCCCAGCTTAGCCGGTGCCCCCTAAGTCTGCAGAATGAAGGGCTAAGTGGACCATCAGGATGGACAGCAGAACAGGAGCCCCTGGGAGGTGGGAGACCCAGGTGGCAGGAGCCCTAGAGAAGCAGGGTAGAGCCCTGAGCCTGACTCTCTGTCTTCTTGGGGGCTGTGGCTCCCCTAGGCTGACGCCTCTTCCTCTAACCTCCTGCAGGTAAACCTGGTGCTGGGGGATGGCCGGTCCCTGGGCCTCACCATCCGCGGAGGAGCTGAGTACGGCCTCGGCATTTACATCACCGGTGTGGACCCAGGCTCGGAAGCAGAGAGCGGTGGGCTCAAGGTGAGGGGCGGGGAGGAGGGAGATGTGGGAGGGAAAGGTTCTCACGGAGCACTCGCTCTGTTTGGATCTGATTTGGGTCAGCCTTCAACAGAGCAGTGGGCACCCACCTGAGGACCAGCCCTGGCCAGGTCGCCTGGCTGGCTGCTGCCCTCTAATACCCAGCTGTGAGCTGCAGCACAGTGGCTTCATGTGTGGTGCTGGGCAGGGGGCCAGACAGCCCCTCATGGCTGTGCTTCTGCAAACACTGCTGGTGGCTCATGATGGCCCTGACTGGGATGGTGCATGGAGCAGGGAGAGGAGAGAGAGTGGGGCGGGGGGTTGGAGCAGTCAGGGCCGGTGCTCAGTCCACGGCTGCCAGCAGCGAAGGGGAGGGCATTGTTATACTTTGAGGAGGGCTGATTATGCACCCAGCATTTGATTGACTCACATGTGGGCTGGCCTGTGGGGTCCGCTGTTGTCACCCTTATCATCTTCTTGGAGAAACTGAGGCCCAAAGAGGTTACATCAACTTGTTTGAGGTCACACAGCTGGCTGGTTGCAGAGCAGGGATTGAACCCAGGGAGAAATTAATTCGAAAGCTTGAAGTCCTACCAGCTACCCTTAACACCCTGCTGGGGAAGGCTAGCGATTTGCTAGTGAGGCACAGACTGCCCACGAGGACCCTGGACCCGGACCCAGGTCTCTGGAATAAGTGACAGTGTATGTTTGGGCTACAGCTGGATGCCAGGAGTGGAGCGGTGATCAGGGGCCCAACTGGCTTTTGAGCCCAGCCTGAGTGTGCAGGGGAAAGGGGTGGGACGGGTACAGGGGCCGGGAGACAGGGCTGTGGGGCCTCAGCAGTTTTCCTCTGCTCTCTCTTCTGGAGGACATTATGTGATGCCTCGTGCAGTGTCCTTGGTGACAGTAATGCATGAACAGTTCTCAGATTTTCTTAGTGGTGAATAAACTGATTGAATCCATGTTAAGAGAAAGGGCAAGACATGTGCAAGAGAGGTTACATGTTAGGTGTGGGCAAGAAGACACTGAGACACTCCCCCCCGTTATGGTGGGCAGTACCCTTTTATTGTCACAGTGTCCTTTTTTTCTAGAGCTGCTATGTAAGATACCTCGCTAAATGCTTCACTGTCAATCTCTTACCTAATTTTCACAGCAATATATGAAAAAGAATGTGCTTGTCTCCACTTTACAGGTGACAGATTTAGATGCAGCATTGAACAGTTTGCCCAAGGTCACCTAGCTAAGAAGTGCTAGGGGCGGGATTTGAACTCACACCAGCACACTTAAATCCGTGTTCTTAGCCCTCACAGTGATAACACACCACCTCCCAGTGATAACAGGAAATTGTTATCCGCAGTTGACAGTGGGAGAAATGGAACCTCACAGAACTAAACTGACTTGCTCAGGTGAAATCTGGGATTTCCACCCAGGCCTGGTGGAGCCAGAGGTTGCTTTGTACAAAGATACATACCCTGGGACCTGCTGCCACCATGTGTGATTGTGGGGATGTCCTTCCCTGTCCCAGCACCAGTGTCCCTGCATGGACAGGAAGTGAGCAGTTGGGCTGGGTGATTGTGGAGGTTTTCTCCTAGGCTTCCTGTTTTCCTAGCTTGAGAGGGCCAGAGGGGTCAGATGCCAGGAACATACTCCAGTCCTTCCCTCGTAGGTTCCCATATTCACTGACAGATGCCCGACTGGTAACGAGCTGGCAGAGCTCTCCCCATGGAAGGAAGGGAGTGGGCACCCTGCACAGGCGTCCATCCACACCTGACACCCTCCTCCCTTCCCTGGGATCAGTAGGTCCACGCGCATGACTGCATAGGCCAGGCAGGATGCTCCATGGCTTTTGAACTGGGCCACACCATCTCTGACCTCTTGAAGCACATACCCTAATTGCACAGCTGTCTATTTCATTACAATTGTGAAAAATACCAAGATGGTGAATCCCATCGCACAGGTGAGTGGGTGACAGGAAGGTCAGCCCTAGCCTTGGATCCTGGGAAGGTTTCCCAGAGGAAGAATCGTAGCAGTTGAAAGTTAAAAGAAGAGAACAAAACTTATTGTATGAAAGATGGAAGGAGAATTCCAGGCAGAAAGAACAGGAAACGCTAAGCCCTTGCAGTGCGCAGAAGCGTTCCAGAGTGGCTGGCCTTGGAAAGTCAGGTAGGGAGAAGGTGCCAGTTGACAACGATGGCAAGACAATCAGGATGGGATCTCACAGGGTGTGTAATTCTCCGGAGGCTGTGCAGCTGTGAAAAGACAATGATCACCCTGTAGTCCTAGCACACTGGGAGATGGAAGCAGAAGGATCACAAGTTCAATTCTAGCCTGGGCAACTTTGCCCAAGGAGACCCTATCTCAAAATTTTAAAAAAATTTTAAATGCACTAAGGGTGTAGCTCAGTGCCAAGGCCCTGGGTTTGATTCTGTCTTTAAAAAAAATGATGATGATGATGATGATGGATCTGTGTGGTTATGAATGCGGAAGGTATATTATTAAGTGGACAACATGGCTGCAAACCCACCTACCAGCAGGATCTCATTTGCATTGAATACGTCTGCAAAACTATGCATGGAGAAACATCTCCAGGGGACCCACACCAGTGTGTACACAGTGTTATCTCCAGTGGGTAAGATTACAGGCAATTTTCACTTCTTCTTTACAGCCATATGCAATGTCTGAATGGAGCGAGTATGACTTTAAAATCATGGCAACAGCAACAACAAAAAAAGCAATTTCCATTTTGAAATGAGGCAGAAGAAAAGCATTCCTCAGAAGTTTTCCAGCCACTTGAGTGCACCTCTCAGTGGCAGGCTCTGAGGCTTTATTTTCTCATAAAATGCCCACCACCTTCAGTAAAGTCCTTTCTATCTTCAATCCCCTCTGCAGTAAAGCATTTTATTGTCCCCGCCGCTCTTTTCCTGTCCTTTCCGAGGCCCCTCGGCTGTGCCAACACCTGCCCACACTTGCTCGGGCATCCAGGACTGATTAATTCTGTTTATTGCAGTGCACTTTCAGTGGAATTAGGCATATTGAAATGGAATAAAGGGCTTAGCTGTGTGGGTGATGTAGCCAAGAACAGGCTTTATTTGTAAATAGGGCTACTCCTGGCTGTGCAGAGCTTTCCCGGGGCGAAAATGCTGCCTTGCACCGGGCGTCCAGCTGTTCGGCCCACTTAGCTGCCCCGGACCCAGCTTGAGATCAGGGGAGCGGGCCGGACAGCCCTGCCCTAGGGGAGGAGCACTTAGGGGTCGGGCAGCACCCTGGCACTTACTTCCCGGGGGAGGCCCATGGAACATGGAAATTTCCCACCCTGCCGTGGGGACTGACAGCTCCCTTCACAATGTCTTTGGGTTTTTATACCTCTGCACCTGCCCTCCAGCTTCAAATCCCACCAAAGAACAGATCGTGAAACCTCTTTTGTTCCTTTAAGGACAGAAGAGATTGGCATTTAAAAATAATCATAAGGATAGCAGTTGCCATTTATTAAGCAGTTATTATGAGTCAGACAGTGTGCTAAACACTTTGGGTGTGCTTTTTATTTAATTCTCTCAATAGGCCTGCGGTGGGCATTAATTGCAGGATTTGATAAATGAGCAGCTAAGGCTCAGAGAGCTGCAGTAACTTACCCAGGATCCTACGGGGATCCTCTGAAGGTCATGTGCTTGTTCTACCACCTCCCGAGGACCCTGACTTGACCTGAGATCTCTGTTCCCAGGAAAGCCCACCTGTCCGGTCCCCACTTGTTGGGTGTCTGGCACAGAGTCTCAGCGACGGGGATGCGCTTTGCTTTGCAGACCTGTCCTGTGCGTGGGAGCCTGGCCTGCGTGTCACTTATCGGCGGGGCTGGCGCTGACGCCTGTGCACATGGGCTTTTGCCAGGGTCTCTTCTGCCCACCCTGCATGTATGGGCCGAGCCCCAGTGAGCAGAGGCAGGCAGTCGGTGTTCTTGTGTCATCTCCTGAGACTCTCAGCACAGCTCTGAGAGGCAGCGACCTCTAACGCCCCGCTCCGGAAGTGGGTGTGTTTCCATAATGATGCTTTCCCAGCTCACTGCCCCTGGTGCAGGCTGGTTGTCCTTCACTCCCTGGGTCCCCTGCCCCGGAAAGCACTACCAGGTGTTCAGGAAATAGTTCTTGACTTGAACAAAGGACTGTGGCCGAGCAGATGCTGAGCCAGGGGTCTTTCCTCCAAAGCCCTCATCTTGGGCCTTGTACCCTTTGCATCCCCAGACCCCTGACTTGACTAGTATCAAAAGAATGCAGGAAGAGGCAACAAAGACATTGAACACCTTCTTAGAAATCACCACAATGATGATTGTGGCTGATCTGATGGCAGTCCTGATTAAAATGACAAAAATAATGTCTTAATATTTACATAATTCTTGAAGGTTAAAAAGTCTTGAATAAGCTGGGCATGGTGGCACAGGCCTATAATCCCAGCACTCAGGAGGCTGAGGCAGGAGGATTTCTGTGAGTTTCAGACATTTGAAACCAGCCTAGTTCCAGGTCAGTCTCAACTATATAGTGAGACCCTGTCTCAAAAAAAACCAAAAAAAAACCAGTCTTGAATAGGCATAATATGGCTGATTTTATGGCAGCTAATAAATTATAGCTGTGATTACAGCTCATTTTATGGCAGTTCTGACAAAGATGACAAAAATAATGGCCTAATATTTACATAATTCCTGACAGTTAAAAAAAAAATAAGCCACCTTAAACACAGCTTTCTCCCTTTAAATTTTGTGACCTAGATGAGTGGACCAATTTCTTGAAAGACACAAACTATTAACACTCAAGAAAGAAAAACAATTTACATATCCTAAATATGTGTCAAAGAAATTTAGTTTGTAGTTAAAAATCATTCAGACAACAGAAAACTTGAGCCCAGATGCTTTTGTGAATGAATTCTATCAAGAAGTTAAGGAAGAAATCTCACACAGCCTTTTCCTGAAAATAGAAGATGAGGAAACATTTCCCACCTCATTTTATGAGGCTGGGATT